TTTTGCACCTCACAGATTGCCTCAGCATTTCTAAAGAGTGGAAGCAGTTTTTTATGGCTGGTAACTGAATTAAGTTGTTTACAGAAGCTTATACCCCTCTAAACTAGTTTGTGTCTAAGGTGCCACCCTGCCCTGCCTTTTTCCTGACTTCAGCCTAATGTGGCTAGCTATCTCTCTATATCCCAAATGAATACAACAGCACTTCTTTTGCAAAGAAATCAGTTTATTCTCAGCAAGACAGGAGGCTGTACAGAGTTAGAGAGTGTTTGTTTTAACCATAGCTTACTTCAAAGTACATACATGCCTGGCCATCCTTGCTCGGTTCCCAGGGCATTTCAGTGCTGTAGGGAGTTTTATAAAGGCAACAGACCTCAAATGTTCACAGACAAGGGATATTGTGCATAACAGTCATGTCATGGCCTGCTAAAGCCAGGCATCAGGGCCCTTGCTCTTGCTACCACAGCAGATGCTTACTTTTCCTGGCTCTAAAGAGCAGTCAAGATTTACTTTAGCACATCAGAACAGATGTAAAAAGAGAGAATGAGCTGTTTGTGGTTGGGTAGCAGTGCCTTTTCCAACAGCAGTTAATGAAAACAAGATGTAGCTCAGTCCAGGCCCTAACAGCAGGTGGTGGCAGTCAGAGCCCATGATTCTGGGCTTTAAGATGCTGCTGGTGCCACCAATGGTTCAGCCTTTGGATGAGTGAAGGTCCCCAAGATCAGCCTGTGAGGACACCTGTGTGTGCATCTGAGCAGCCAGACTAGAGGAAAGTGTCCATCCCAGGTGTTTCTCCTGTTCCTGGGTGAACACACTCCCATATAGATGCAAGCTGGTGACGCCCGTCACCTGCTGGCAGTGCCAGGCAAGTGGTCTTGGTCCATCATGGCTTTGTTCAGAGCAGGTTTGGCAGGAGAAGGCAGATGGAAGTACTACTGGACCAACCGGGTCTCCCTCACCACTCCCCTCACAGCAGTCTGGGCGGTGGGGGGAAATAATCAGCATTGCAAATGATGCCTGTACATGCTACTGTGATCTGCTGGCATTCAGGCCATTCAAAAACAAAACAGGAGCACTTAAAAATATCACTGCACCTTAGAACTGAAGCAATTCATGATAAAAGCTCTAACAGTTCAGGCTAACATCTCTGTACAGTCCTTGAATACAAGGGTGGGAGCTAGAGACCTTGCCCACTCATCTCAGTGTGTTAGGCCCACCACCAATATTAGGTAAGCAGCCAGCCAGAGCTTTGCCCTGTGTCCTTAAGATTTCATCTGTCATAGGAGGTGTCAGCTTCCTGTCGCTAGCTGGAAACACTGCTAATTTCTCAGCTGCTGAGCAACGGGGAATACGAACATGCACACAGGGCAGAAGTGGAGTTGGGAGAACACAATACTGCATCACACAGCTTGTCATGTGAAAGAGGATTCAAAATCCCAGGAAATGTAAAGGCGACTAGAGCTGCCATGTAAAAAGTATCCTAGCCAGGAGGCAGGGAATCCATCACCAATGACGCAAAGGTCAGAGTCAAACCATTTTATAGAACTTGTTCGTCCCAATGACACTGGCATTGCTGACACGGGGAGGGCAGCCACGGCTTAGTAGCCAGCATGCAACACAAGAACGGGGCTAGATGAATTCCTGGAGGAAAGGGGCATCAGTAGCTACCGAGCACGGGAGTCAGGGGGACAGCCTCTGAAACAGAACTTCCTTGACCTGAAATCCTGGAGGCTGCAAGTGAAAGAGGATCAGTGGATAAAACCCTTGTTATACCCAGTTCATTCCGCCTTTCAGCATCCATTTTCTGCCACTGTGGGGGTGTAAGGAGTTACATTTTATGTGGGGCGAGGTCCCCAAAAGTCCTCTGTAACTGTAACCCAGCAAATATTCATGGATGCAAAGCATTTTCAAAATGGCCAATAACATGAAAACTTAACTTGCTGGGGTGGGGGAGAAACAGAGACACCCCTCTCCCCCTTTCAGGCCTGGCCCAGCTCCCTGCACCACAAGGCCACAGCAGGGAGAGCTGGGCAGGTTTCACAAGGTAGGGGACTCCGTTCCTTCCCTCACCCAAGGGTCTTGAAAACAGTAGTCTTGTGGCTGCTTTGCCTCAAGCTGCGGGTGGGGGGGAAGGAGCCCCCCCATAAGTCCCATAAGTCGAGCCCAGCTACCCCTTCTGAGGTGTTGCGGGGAGCTGGGTGAGGCATGGTAGTGTGGGGTCCCTGCCACCCCCGCATAAGCATCACCATGGCAGCAGTCAGTACCCCCTAAGAAACCGCAGCAGGAGTAGTTGGGCTGGGGCATGGAGTGGGATTCCAACTGAAGAAGATGGACTCCATCCCCATTGTCCTTCTCAGCCATTTCTGACAGTCATGGGTTGGTGGCGGAAGGGAGCAGGGCTGGGAAAGGAGTGGTCCAGCATCCCCCTTGAGCCCCTCCTGCTTGCCTGGGACACTAGAGGCAAGCTCTGAGCCCCCCTCACCCAAGAGGGGAACACCTGTTGGATTCAATGGTGCTCTAACTCATGGCGCTTTGTCTAAAGCAGCATAGTTATAGCACCTCCCCAAAAGATTTCCAGAACTCCTGTATGCACCACGTGAGACAAGGTACTGGCCAGGATGAACCTATGGTCTGACCCAGTAAATGGCCATTCTTATGTTCAGTATTTCTGGGCCAAGTGACACGTCCAGACATTGCGATCCATTCACAGCATCATTCTCAGAGGTCACGTGCTGGCCAGGAAGTCTGCAGCACAGCACCCCATAAAGATAGAGACAAATTACACAACCCAAAACACTGCCCAGCCACCGACCTGTGCTCTCCCCCATGGCCGCCCTCAGTTCTCTCGGGCCTGGGTGCATTCCTTTGACACCTTTGACATCGCATCCAGGTACTGCCAGCTCAGCACTGCCAACAGCACGGCACCTTTCAGGAAGATGCTAGAGTAACCATTACGGGACACCATTGTGCCATGGGGCAGAATCATTTTCTGAAGATAGATAATGATCTCTTTGGTCTTGTCAGAAGAAGGGTCCGTGCTTGGGATTTTCTGATAGATCTGAAAAAGGAAGAGCACACCTGTGAGTAAGGGAACAGGAACGCTCCAGCCCATGGGATAGCCCCTCCACTGTGAAATGGCGTCTCCTTCACAAGGACCACGTCACCAGTGGGATGCTGAGTCTACTCAAGCAGGACACTACTAGGCATTAATAGCCATATGGCCAATTTGACACATATGCATCGTGGCCACCACATTAGCAGGGTTCTGGTTGCACATTTCCCCTTCAACAATGAAGACAGCATTTTTCTCCAACACCTTAAGCATTGGGTTATGGATACTATTTAAAGCTTGGTCTATGACGAAGTTCAAGCCACTTGCACACCAAAAACCTGGCAGAGTTACATAGTTTTGGGCAAAAGTTTATGCTTTAGGGTAATGTCAGCCTTGCACAGAAGACTATTTAAATGAAGCATAATAGCAGCAATAGATCAGATGTCCGATAAGACTACAGAATCAGAGGTCCAATAAAACCACAGAAGACTATTTAAATGAAATGTATAAGCAGCAATAGATCAGATGTCCAATAAAACAGTTCTTAGTTCCCTGTTAACACCATTTCAAATCCCTTCACATTGCAGCATGTGCACTCACCATGCTGTGGCCCATCATAAGCCTTGGCACTGTGAGGGCAGGACAGCCTGGCACTAGTGAGAATCAGTGAAACCACTGGGTGATAACAGGTGGACTCAGATTTGGAACAGGCTCCTAAGCAAGGTGCAAAAGCCCACCAGGTGAGTCCCTGGGTTACTGTTGCAGTTGGGTGGGTTACTGCAGCAACGGGGTACCTTGGCAGGTGTCTATCCACACAAATCCCACTGGGCGTGCATGTTCCCATCGTGTGCAAAGCCAGAAATGTTTCACCAGCAGCACCCATCAGAGGCTGTACGCACACCCAACATGCCCTCACCCTCCCATCTGCACTCAAGGGCATAAAGGGCTAAGCTGCCCCAACCAGCACCCAGCCTCTTCCTGAATACCAAGATCCACTGCACAGATTCCACATCAATGGAGAGGAAGCTCATGGATGTCCCGTCATAGTGTACCAGGTACCACGCAGTAAGAAATCTGCTTTGTCTGAGCATTTATCTGCATGCTTCCCACTATTACTGGCTCATTTAGTAGTTAGCCATATAAACATGGTTTAACTGGGCCCCCATCACCCTTTGAATGCCTCCTTTTCAACTGTTCCTAACTGAGAAGGCTTTGATAGTACAATACGGGGCCATAGGATCATAGGACAGCAGGGCTGGAGGGGACCATGTGAGGTCATCTAGTCCAGCCCCCTGCGCAAGGCAGGATCATCCCATACCAAACCATCTCAGCCAAGGGCCTGTCTAAGCTGCTCTTGAAACCATGCAAAGATGGAGACTCCACAGCCTCTGGCCAACCTCTTCCAATGACCACCCTCATAGTGAGGAAGTTATTTATTATCAACCTAGGGTTTGCTGGCTGTAACTTTAGACCACTGCTCCTGGTCCTGCCCCCCAGGGCTCAGGTGTCCGTCTGGTGAGGAGGTAATTCTAGAGGCAACCCCAGCACATCGGAGCAGCTGATGCACAGATCTCAGCCAGCTCCGAAGGGGCTGGAGGTGCAGGCTTGCATAAGGGATCAGGCAAGTGCACACTGCTGGGGCACCCTGCACGGCACTGACCATCTGTCTCCAGGTCCCCGAGCTGGAGGTGTGGGCTAGAGTTAGTGTGAACGGTCACCAAAACCTGGAGAGGTTTTGGTGACCGTTCACACCAACTCTAGCCCACACACCCGACAAGGCAAAGAATGTGGCCTTGCCTAGAAAAATCTGATCTTTGTGCAGAAAAGAAGGCTGGATTTTTCTCGAGTAATTCTGTGGCCTGGGCTGACACAGGGATGATGCTGTTTTCAGGTAAAGAGGGAAAAGACATACAAACACAACACAAAACCACAAGCAGCCCCCGAAGAAAAAATAGGTCACCAAATAAGGCCCAACACACAGACTTGTTTTATGTTTTAAAAAGCAAGACACGGAAAACTATGGGACACTCAACCGATAGAAACAGCTGCTGCCCATGAACCGACGGAGTTTCCTATGGGTGGCCCTATTGCCAGCTGCGGGGTGGGGGGAAGAGGGTGTGGGGAGAGCAAATGTTGAATGTTGAGGATTGCAAAGCACTTGGGCCTTAGAGGTAGTTAGCCACATGAGTTGGAAGTCAGGCACAAGCCAAGGCAGGATGGTACCTTGGAAACTAACTGGTTCAGAGAGGCAGAAGCTTTCGTAGGCAACTATCTACATTGTCAGATGCTGCCTACATGTACCGACATGTAATGAAGGAGGTTGTTGCCTACAGATGTTCATGCCTCCTTGAGCCAAGCAGTTACTACGGTGCGAGCCTGCCCTGCCTGCTTGCAGCTGGGCTCCAGGGACGGCATTACAGGGGAGGGGGAGAGAAAAGGCCTGCAAGGCGCGCAGGAAGCCTCACACCTGCAGTTCCAACCTTCAGGGGCTGCATTTGCTCTTGCCCACAAGGGAAGTAGGGTTTGTCTCAAGGCCCCTAAAACCAGTGCATGAGACGTGATTGAATATTTAGTTTGTTTTGTCCCACTTGTGAGACGCTGCTCCTACGAGTTCTCACACTTCAGAAAGCCACCAAAGAGTTTATTCCAGCCTGTTCCCTATATGTAACAGGTCATTTGGCTCCTCATCATACAATTTTTCAGCCTATTTTTGTAACCTCTCTCCTTCCTTCACCCCCGCCCCCCTTCCTCTATCCCCCTTCTTCCCTCCTCACCCCTCAAATAACCTCCTTTTGCCTACAGCTCTTTTAAATATATATATATATATATATAACTTCAGCCCTTTGGCTCTGGAGAAGCTGCCAGCCCAATTGTCAATGGTGGGACTTGCATTGGAAAACTCTACCAAGGCCAGCCACGACCAAGCTTGTAGGCCTACTGCTGGGGTAAGTCATTTCCAGTAAGGACACCTACCCGTTAGTAAGACATGAACTATGGAAAGTCCTGCATTTAGGACAGAACAATCCCATGCACTGGTACAGCCTGGGGACTGACTGGCTAAGCAACAGCTCTGCACAAAGGGCCCTGGGGGTTATAAAGGACAAGAAGCTGAATATGAGCCAGCAGCGTGATCTTCTTCTGAAAAAAGATAAGAGCATATTACACTGATTTATTAGGAGCACTGCCCAGAAATCAAGGGAAGTGACTATTCCCCTCTGTGCAGCCCTGGTGAGGCCACATCAGGAGTCCTGTGTTCAGTCCCCACCCTTCACCCCCAACTACAGAAAGGATGCAGGAAAATTGGACAGAGCCGAACAGAGGGCCAACAAAATGCTTAGGGGGCTGGGGCACATGATTTGAGGAGAGGCTGAGGGAGCTCTGGGCTGCTTGTACACACCACGGGGGTTTATTTCGGTTTAATTTTCCCTATATTGAAATAGTGGGGTTTTAAAAAAAAATGCTTCAATTTATGGAGAATTAAACCAAAGTAAACCTCCATGGTGTGTACACAAGGGTCAGACCTGATCTTTACCTGCCTCTCTGGCAGTGGGCGGTTGGGGGAGGCGGGAAGGCGAGCTGCCAGCGGGCCGAACAGTCCCTGAGCTGCGGCGGGGGGTGGTGCTTCCCTGTGCGGCGGCACCCAGACGGCACCCACCCACAGGCACCCAGCCCAGGTGGTCCCAGGGGGCAACACAGTCGTGAAGGGAAGCACTCCCCCCACAGAGGGAAGCACTGGGCCCTGTGCATCTCAGGCAAGCTCTGGGGAGGGGGCAAAAAAAAAAAATTAAAAAAAAGATCATGCTCTGTGCTTTTCTTTTTTTCCTTCAGTGGAGCCTGCCTGCATGGGCTGCTGCCAGGCTGCCTGCATGGGCTCCCTGCATCGCCCCTGAGCCGCATGGGGCCCAGTGCTTCCCTTCACAGCTGTTGCACTTTGATAGGTTGCAAACTAAAACACCTCAGAGGGGTTTTATTTTGCAACTTCCCAAAATCATTTAATGGGAAATATGCCTCCAACTGTGTAGACAGCCATGACATTAAAGTGCAATACACTGCTGACAGTGTAAACAGCCACAACATTAAAGCAGTGGAAAAGGACATCTGAACTGTTTTAAAGGCCATTTCTGTTCCATGTAAAAGGCCCTCGTATGGAGAAGAGAAAACTTAAGGGGAGATTTAATAATCTGTAAGGTGATTCAGAAAAGGCTGGAGTTAGACTGTTCTCAGCAGGGGCAGATGACCAAACAAGGAGCAATGGGCTCAAGTTGAAGCAAGGGAAATTTAGGTTGGATACAGGAAAATCTCTCTCACTAGGAGGGTGGTGAAGCACTGGAAGGGGTTACCCAGAGAGGTGGTGGAAGCTCCATCCTTGGAGGTTTTTAAAACCTGGCTAGACAAAGCCTTGGCTGGGATGATCTAATTGGGCCTGGGCCTGCTTGGAGCAGGGGCTTGGACTAGATGTGACCCCCTGAGGTCCCTTCCAACTCTTATTTTCTAGGCTTCTATGAACTTAGCATCACCCAGCTGAGACATACTCTATTAAGTAAAACACCATGTTCTCATGCAAACCAATACATGGTGGTTAAATTGAAGGGAGTTGCAGTTTGGTTAAGACATTTTACTATGCATCTAGAAGCAAGCCCAGCTCTAAAACTTGGGCCAAAAGTTGCCCTGACGGGACTTGACTGTAGAAGGATATACAGGCATTTGAGCTGGAAGTCTAAGCAGCTGGACGTGATGCTGACCCATCACTCCCTTGGGTGCTGTTGGCTTTAGAAATCGGTGAATCAGGTCAGGGGGTTAAGGCACACGCAATGCTTTGGCACCAACACTGCGGCGCTCATACACATCTCTCACTTGCCATAGGAGGAGGAGCAGGGCAGGGGGAGCAGACAGCCGTTAGAAGGGCACCTCAGCTGTATCTTTCACTTCTACAACAGACACAACTAAGTCCCTTCAAAAAGAAAGAGCAGTTTCTGTGTGAGGAAGTGCTGATGCTTCAGTGGAACAGACACTGGACAATGAGAAGATGACTGTATTAAGGAAAAAGTTGCATTCCAGGACGTTATTTTTAGTTGCTGTCTGGTGGTGTCCTCTCCTTTGTAGCAAGATTTCTTTCAGCTATGTTAGCGAACACGGGACAGTTACTAAATGTCTAGAAGAGCTCTAAAGTGGATCACCAACTTAGCCCTAAGTGCATCACTAGGGGCTGCAAAAAGTGTCTACATCTGGAAGACTATCAGTCGGAGCAAGCTGCCCAACTTACCTCTTCCAAATACTGGGACATGATAGCTCTGACAGCCTGCATGCTGGTGGCATCGCTCATCAGAGTGACGACTTGTTCCTTCCGAATCTTCACTATGCCCCTAAATACTTCTTTGTTGTTGTAGCAAGCAGCCAGCGTGGCTATGGCCATCACCTAATGAGAAATGATAAACGACAGCAAGTGCATGCAGGGCAAAACCTTGGTCCGACCGAAATCGATGGCAAACTTGCATTGGCTTCAAAGAGAACAGGAATTTGTCCAACGTAAACACATGCCTGCTTAGAGGTGGAGTCATGAGACACAGTCTTTCACTTCTTTTTCAAACGATGTAGAATGCTCTTGGTTTTAACAGAAAAAGGAAAAAAAAAACCCTTAAGGGACAAGATTACCCACATCAACCCATGAGCGCAGCACTGCTCCTGCTCACGTTGGCTGGAGTAGCATGCATACAGAAGGAGAGCCGTTCCATCAGAGGAACACCTGGTTTCTCAAGACAAGGCAAAAATTTATATGAATCCATAATCATCATGCCACACACTAAATAAGCCCAGTCCCCTCAGCCTCTCCTCATAAGTCGTGTCCCCCAGCCCCTCACCACTTTTGTGCACTCTGCTGGACTCTTTCCAATTGGGTCACATCCCTTCTGTAGCGGGAGGCCCAAAACTGGACACAGTCCTCCAGATGTGGCCGCACCAGTGCTGAATAGAGGGGAACAATCACTTCCCTTGAGCTACTGGAAACACACCTACCGATGCAGCCCAATATGCCCTTAGCCTTCTTTGCAACAAGGTCACACTGTTGGCTCATATTCAGCTTATTACCCACGGTAACCCCCAGGTCCCTTTCTGCACAGCTGCTGCCCAGCCTATCAGCCCCCAGCCTGCCCAAGTGCATGGGATTGCTCTGTCCTAGGTGCAGTACTTGGCACTTGTCCTTGTTGAACCTCATGAGATTCCCTTTGACCCAATCCTTCAATGTGCCTAGATCACTCTGAATCCTACCCTACCCTCCAGCATATCTACTACTGATCCAAGTTGTCCAAGTAGAGATGATGAAACCATGTGGAAGCATGAGCCTACCTGTGGAATAGCACAGTAGTTGAAGACACTTTGGGTTTTGAGTCTGGACAAGTACTTGAGGATATTAGGGATGTGTTGGAGAGCATTTGTAATCATCTCATTCATACACTGAACAGCCAGGTCAGCATTCTCTGGTTTGGCAAAATCCAAGACCCTCTTCACGTACCTGCTCCAGACCTGGGGATATTAATGATATGAATGCCACCACTCACGTGCTAACCATTGCACACATATCCTGGTATAGCTATGGGTTTTGGCAACATGCTTTGCTGGATCGAGGCTACGGCAGCCATCTCCCCACGGTATGAAAAAAAAGCCATCGGGATGGGGAATCCCTCTGTGAACAGTTCTCATTAGGTTACAGTCAGTGTAACAGCCTGTGAAAAATCATGGGGCATTGAACAGAGCAAGACAATCTCTCTGGAAAACAAAGAGGATGCCGGGACACAGTATTTCACTTCTTTTTCAAACGATGTAGAATGCTCTTGGTTTTAACAGAAAAAGGAAAAAAAACCCTTAAGGGACAAGATTACCCACATCAACCCATGAGCGCAGCACTGCTCCTGCTCACGTTGGCTGGAGTAGCATGCATACAGAAGGAGAGCCGTTCCATCAGAGGAACACCTGGTTTCTCAAGACAAGGCAAAAATTTATATGAATCCATAATCATCATGCCACACACTAAATAAGCCCAGTCCCCTCAGCCTCTCCTCATAAGTCGTGTCCCCCAGCCCCTCACCACTTTTGTGCACTCTGCTGGACTCTTTCCAATTGGGTCACATCCCTTCTGTAGCGGGAGGCCCAAAACTGGACACAGTCCTCCAGATGTGGCCGCACCAGTGCTGAATAGAGGGGAACAATCACTTCCCTTGAGCTACTGGAAACACACCTACCGATGCAGCCCAATATGCCCTTAGCCTTCTTTGCAACAAGGTCACACTCATATTCAGCTTATTCCCCACGGTACCCCCCAGGTCCCTTTCTGCACAGCTGCTGCCCAGCCTATCAGCCCCCAGCCTGCCCAAGTGCATGGGATTGCTCTGTCCTAGCTGCAGCACTTGGCACTTGTCCTTGTTGAACCTCATGAGATTCCCTTTGACCCAATCCTTCAATGTGCCTAGATCACTCTGAATCCTACCCTACCCTCCAGCATATCTACTACTGATCCAAGTTGTCCAAGTAGAGATGATGAAACCATGTGGAAGCATGAGCCTACCTGTGGAATAGCACAGTAGTTGAAGACACTTTGGGTTTTGAGTCTGGACAAGTACTTGAGGACATCAGGGATGTGTTGGAGAGCATTTGTAATCATCTCATTCATACACTGAACAGCCAGGTCAGCATTCTCTGGTTTGGCAAAATCCGAGACCTTCTTGACATACCTGCTCCAGACCTGGGGATATTAATGATATGAATGTCACCAGTCATGTGCTAACCATTGCACACATATCCTGGTATAGCTATGGGTTTTGGCAACATGCTTTGCTGGATCGAGGCTACGGCAGCCACCTCCCCATGGTATGAAAAAAAGCCATCGGGATGGGGAATCCCTCTGTGAACAATTCTCATTAGGTTACAGTCAGTGTAACAGCCTGTGAAAAAATTGGGGCATTGAACAGAGTAAGACAATCTCTCTGGAAAACAAAGAGGATGCTTGTCTGCACAACATCCAGTGTCCTTGGAGATAGTTTCATAGTTGTTCATAGTTTGTAGGGTGGGAAGGGACCTGAGCAGATCATCAAGTCTGACCCCCTGCCATGGCAGGAAAGAGTACTGGGGTCAAGCGACCCCGGCAAGGTGTTCATCCAGCCTCCTCTTAAAGACCCCCAGGTTGGGAGCCAGCACCACTTTGCTTGGAAGTTGGTTCCAGGTCCTTGCTGCCCTGACAGTGAAGTAGCGCCTCCTGATGTCTAGTCTGAATCTACCCTCTGCCAGCTTGTGACCGTTATTTCTAGTCACTCCTGGTAGTGCTCGGGGGAACAGGGACTCCCCCAATGCCTGCTGGTCACCCTGACTAGTTTGTAACAGGCCACTAGATCCCCCTCAGCCTTCTCTTATGGAGGCTGAACAGGTTCAGGTCCCGTCGCCTCTCCTTGTAGGGCCTGCCCTGCTGCCCCCTGATCATGTGGGTGGCCTCCTCTGGACCCTCTCCATGCTGTCCACATCCCTCCTGAAGTGCGGTGCCCAGAACTGGACGCAGTACTCCAGCTGCAGCCTGACCAGTGCCACAGAGAGGGGGAGGATCACCTCCTTGGACTTGCTCGAGATGCATGTGTGGATGCATGACAAGGTGCGGTTGGCCTTCCTGACCGTGTACCCACACTGGGGACATGTGCCAGGATAATTCTCTCAAAAAGCTTACCCAGGATCGAGGTAAGACTGACTGGCCTATAGTTCCCTGGGTCCTCCTTCCTCCTTTTTTTGAAAATGGGAACCACATTGGCCCTTTTCCAGTCCTCTGGCACCACACCAGAGCACCACGAGTGCTCGTAGAGCTGTGCCAGGGGTCCCGCAATGACCTTTGCTAATTCCCTCAGCACCCTGGGGTGGAGGTCATCTGGACCAGATGATTTGAATACATCCCGTCCCTCCAGAAGTTCCCTGACTAGATCCTCACTGACCTTAGGCCTGGGTCTGCCTCCCCTGGGACCTATGGGGGTCCCGGTGTGGGGGGTGACCTGGGCCAAGCTCAGAAAAATGGAGGCAAAGAAATTGTTAAATAGGTTAGCTTTGTTGTCTGGTGAGATGACCAGATTTCCTAGCGTGTCTTGCAGAGGCCCCATGTTACCTGATGTATAACCCATGCACATACGCCTGGTGGGTGGGGGCACATCCAGTGTGTAAGAGCCAGGTTCGCATCAGCAGTGATCAATGGACCACCACCTCTGTCCTCTGCATCCTTGTGCACCCAGTCCAAGTTTGAAGGATGGAGCTATGCCAACACCATCTCTGTTTCCTCATTGTATGATTCACAACACGAGGACTTGAAAGCAGGGAGCACAGAGACTGAATCATGGGGCATGTAGGGAGATGGTTTGATTTGAAAGAGCAGCTTTCACTGTACATGCAAGCACTCTCAACCTCTGTGCAATACCTTTCACACACTGCTTATTATTTATTATGACCTCTCACAGTTCGAAGTGAAGTGCTTGCCAGGATAAAAAGCCATCTTCACGGAAGAAGATGAAAGTGGCATGTAGCCACAGGTTGGAATGGGGCTCCATACAGCTGGGCAGAGTCAAAGCTAAATCCCACAAAAGGATCAGGTTCCCACTAGGACTTTAGAGATGCCTTGCAAGCATCTTAAACCACGGGATAACAAGCATCTCATAGCTCCTCTAACCGGCAGATACATGGCCAAAATGGCAATTAAATGTTCTCACAACAAATGTAAACTTAACCTGCTTAGGATACAATCAGTACCCTTAGATGGAGATCAGTGGAAGAGCTTGTTTGATCACACATTATCTGCTCCAGTTTCCAGGCTTCACCTTGTTGGTGCCAGGAAGGGGAATTCCATGATTTATCATTTTTCACAGATTTCCCACCATGAGTGAGCCCATCTCGCTCTCCCATGTCTGTTCAGAGAACAACAAGGCAGCATCACCAGGACCATGCAACCTCCTGCCTACCTTATGAATACCCCTGCCTCTGTAGTCAGCTACTCTTTCTGGTAACACTTATGCACATTGCTTTACACAAAGCAGATGGCAATCTCTGAATTGTGAGGGGGCAACTGATCTAAAAAGGACAGCCGGGCAACAGCACCACATTGGAGATTCACATCTACAAAGCAATGGTTTCCTTCACCTCTCTGGGCCAGAATTCCCTTCCCTCCAGCTGGTCCTCCAGGTAATCACGAATGATGTAGGTTTTCTCCAGGAAGAGCCCCATGGAAGTTGCAAGCTCTGTGTCCTGCCCTACGATTGGGTCTTCAAGCTCCGATGCAGAGAAGAGACGGGAATAACCAATCACAAAGAGTGCAACAACATACTGGCAATACTGCAAGATTTGGGGAGGAGAAAAAAAGCAGTTGAGATGTGCATCATCTAGAGTTCATGAGCTTTCAAGAAAATTAGCACTTGGAGTTTACTCAACCGGCTGATTATGTGCAGCTGTGTGGCCCGTCCTTGAATCATCTCCCTCCTTCCACATCAAACTTGTTTGCACAAGTGCTTTTGATGTCTAGGTACCATCCTAAAACCTAAGTCACCAGGCAAGAAGTGCTCCATGGCACATCTGCCTTTGCTGAACAGACAACAAATGCCCACCAGGAATGTGCCTCTGCAGTCTACCTCCATCCTTAATGCTGTGCTGAGAAGAGGTGCTGACCAGCCCAGTCTAGGGATAGGAGAGCTCCAAAAGAGCACACCATTTTACAGAGGGATGAGCATTTCAGTGAATGGCCCAGCAGCTAAAGGAGGGTCCTGGGAGGGCACCAATTCTTAGATCTCTGTTACACGCATAGAGGAATATTAGGAATACAGCTTACTTGCAAACACTTGCTACAGCTGCTTTACTTAGCAGTAATCCACCCAATAATCCTCATCCATAGGATTGAGCAACAGGAGAGTGTAAATCTCACCTCCCTCCAAAATCTCACCTCCCTCCTTCTGGCAGTCCTGAGAGGTCAAAGTCCCAACTTCATGCTGGGCAGAGCAGGGATGTCAACCCAAGACCCCATCCACTGGGCTACTGCATACTCAGGGGACACAGCCTCTTTGTTTTGGAAGTAAGGGACTGATTTGGGGTAGACATCCCACCCCAGGTCAGGGATCTGGCCGTGAGTGCAAGGACATATCTGCCTCCCGCTGGACACCTGACTGCATGCGAGTATGAGAGGTGAGGAAGTAAGTGCCAATCTCTTAGAAAATCCTACTGATCATAAGTGTCATCCCATATTGGTGAACCCCATTGATTATGTGGTGAGCCTGAGCAGGGCCTGAGGGCTCCAACCAGTGGCAGGGCACCATGGGATGAGAAATGGGACCACTTGAGTTGAGCCGGGTAGAAAGCCAGGCCTCCAGTTGGGGCTGTGAACATTACCCTACTCCAGTTCCTTCACTGCTCACATGCCCTTACCTTGTTCCAGTCCTGCAGGGAATCGACCCTCTTTTCCAAGAACTCCGCCATCCCCAGTCCCATCTTGTGACAAGTATCAGCGATCACATCCTGATACACCTTGGCCAGGTTCCTGAACTCCAAGGAGATCTGCAGCAGAAGTCACAAGGGGATACTCACAGTGTGCCGAAAGCAAAGCAGGGTCCAGCATTTATGAATGACTAGGAATGAGTAACCCAGTGACTGTTCAAATGCTCTTGTATTGCTGGAGTTGCTGGCTAAACTCTCACTGGCTGAAGAGGGTGCACAATCAAGGCCTTGTGTGCAGTGAACACATGCTCAAAGGCTCCTCTGGCCTTTGGCCACAATGCAGAAGCCATTTATGTCTTCCTGGTGGCACACAATCTGGACTGGTATCACGTGGGTCTCCACAACACAGTGGCTACAAAAAGATGCCTGGGGGGCAGATGTAACTTGTGGGAAGTCCTGTCAGGTGAACAGCTGGCAAAGCAGCAAGACCAGACTCCCAGTGTTGAACTGGAGCCATACTGTCTAGAGCTCTTTAAAGTCCCTGCTCTCTCCAGACTTTAGTATGTGCCAAGTGCAATGTAGCGCCTTTTCTCTCCAAGAAGCAGCCACCAACCTCCTGGGCAAACACTACATGTGGTGACCTCCACTTTGAGCCCCCAATCTTTTGTCTGCCCAAGGTGAGAGCCCTTCAGCACTGGCTTTTTTCTCCAACCAGCAAAAATGAGGCTGAGAAAGTTGCATTTTAACCTTCCCTTTAGTCAGATACCTCATATGAGAGATTACCAGGACTCAGGAGACTGCATTTCTATTTCCAGCTCTACCCACAGCTTGCTGGGTGACACCGGGCAAGTCACTGCTGCCATTCTGTGCCACAGTTTCCTCTTATGTAAACTAGAGACAGTGGATGGGTCTAAACATGCTATTAACTCAGTGTAGGCTTACTGCGCTGTAAAAATACTGTGCAGTAAGCCTACAGGGGACCATGTCTACATGTGCTCCGTCTTGGGAACAGATTTGCTCCCACCCTGCCCTGCCCCCATGCAGCAGCTAGGGAGAGCTCCAGACTCCTCCTGGGTGCCAGCCCAGCAGCTGGCAGGGAGCAAAGGGCCAGAAGACATCACCCTGGGAGGGGTCCCCATGTGCTCAGGGTGGAAGAGCTGCTGTTGCTGCAGAGGTCTCCCACCCTGTGCACACGGGGACAAGCTCTGTGCCCCGCAGGGTTTCCTTGCACCTGCCCAGGACCTGTCCCCATCTGGGGAAGGTCCCAGCCAGCTCCAACCTGTGCCCCTCCCCTGCAGTTGTCTCCCAGTCCTGTGCCCTGATTGCCTGATTGGAGCAGGGGGCTGGGAAGAGCCCCCTCCCCACAGCTGTTTCCAGGCCGGTGTCCCAATTTGGTGATTGAGACACAGGGGTGGGAATGGGGGAGTGGCTCTTTCCAAGTCCAATGTCTTGGGGTACCCAATCGGGAAATGGGGTTGGGAAAGAGCTGTGGAGCTAGGACCTGACCCAGACTGGGACACTTCCCAGTCAGCCTGGGGCTGCACAGGGAAGTCTGCACATGCAGCCTGGCGCTGGCTGGAACCTGCCCTGAGGTGGGCGAGGTCCCATCTGTCTGTACTTAGTAATTAAAAGTGCCTCGACACAGCAGAATTCTTAGCACGATGCGAGTACTCGCTACGGAGGGAAAAACCTTGGTGCAATGATCAGCTCCCGCCAAAACTAGCAGTTGCACTGTTTGGATGCATGCTACCGATTGGCTCATTGTAAATTATTCATACCCGGCGGCTAGCAATTGGCTCACTAGCCGTATAAAAGCTTGGGTAGTTTCCGCCCAAGCCAGAGAACTCCGCATGTACGTTGGGAACGAGTTCCTCGTGTACCTTGGAGCAAAATTGGAGGCCTGATCAACCACCAACCACTCCCCGTCGTCGACCGTCCTGACGTACCCCGCACCCTGCATGCTTGGAAAACATTGGTGTGCCACCCGGTTTCTTTCTGTTGTTTGTAACCTGTACAGAGCGTGCCTACACTGTGTACATCGACGCAAGTCCCTGTACGCCAGTTTGTAAGTAAAGTTCTTTTCAAATTAACCAGTACACATTTGTGCCTAATTCCACTCCATCGGCGTGGCCCCATTCCAGCTATACTCGGCACCCACACCATCCACCTCCTGGCCTCATGTGCAGACTTCTCTACGCTGCCCAGGGCTGGCTAGGAACTGTCCCAGTCTGGAGCAGGTATTAGCCATCTCCAGGCTGGGCAAGGAACCACCCCATGCAGGGTATTTCCTGCCCCAGGTCTGTGATCGGAGCAGGGACTGTGAGACTGCTCCCTGCACCGGGACACTGCCTGGTGCTGGGACAGGCTCCAAGCTAGGAGCCCAGCCGGGACGACAATCCCGTGCCCCTGCATCTGGCAGCTCCTGTCCCCGACTCAGCAATCAGAGCAGGGCCTGAGAGATTGCCTGCTGCCAGGGCAGGGGAACATTGTCCCGGCCGAGCTCTGAGCTCGGAACCTGCCCTGCAGCAGGAAGATCCCAGGGACAGGGAGCAATTTCCCGCTCCATGTTGCCTGGCTGACTGGGAGCAAATTTGTTCAGCAAAATTTCAGGTAGCAAATTAACCGCAGAGTAGACCAATTGAATGCATTGTAAGCATCTGCACTGGTAGATGGTGATGTTTATTGTGCAGTATATTGGTCTACTGTGCAGTAAAGCGTCTCGTGTAGATGCTCCCAGTGATAACTACTTCCTTTGTACAGTGCTCTGAAATCTAATCACCACTGTGTGTGGATGGCTGACACTTCTATCCCAAAACAAGTCCTCTTCTTTCAACTCAGCCATGATAAGAGGACCCATGAAGCACAGAGGAAGCACACCCTGAAAGCATACTTTAAGAAGGGTGGCATCAACTTGACAAACAGGGAAGTGCTGGCTGGTAACAGGACTCAGTGGCACTGCACCATAGATCAAGCTGCAGCTCACTTCAAAGAGAACCATCTTGCTCAGGAAGCCGAGAACCAGCAGAGGAGGAAGGAAAGCGCACAACATCCTGGCCAACAGCTGTGACCCCCCTCCCCACCAAGGCACCACCTGTCATATATGTGGAAAAACTTGCAGAGCACAGATTGGCTTCTTCAGCCATCTTTAAATCCTGGCAAAAATCATCCTCATATTGAGGGATAGCCAAAAAACAAGGATCAATGAAGTGTAGCGTAAGTAGATACTAGTGTTTGACAGTTTCTGCTAGATAATACTGTGATCAAAATTGCATTTTAATGAGATTTTGGTCATGTAGTGGAGTCACTTAAAGAGCTGGAGGGTGTAAGTAGCCAGAAGATTGCTCCATAGAATAATGGTATCCCCTTCAAGACCTTTTCAAAGGATAGGCCCTCTAAACTAATAAGATGCTTGTGCCTCAGGCCCATTTCTATTGTAGTGACATTCCTGAACCAGAATGACATGACCACTTCCTGAAAGAAAGGCCATTAACAAGTATTCTCACTGGGCCATTCAGGGCCACCATTGGATATTTGGGAGATGACTTCCTAAGCAGCACAGCAGCAGCAAGGGATCTCGGAGTCATAGTTGACTCCAAGATGAACATGAGTCCTCAATTTGATGAAGTGATCAGTAAAGCGCACTGTTTCATGCATGAGAAGGTGTATCATGAACAGGTCTAGGGAGGTGATACTTCCCCTCTATGCAGCATTGGCAAGGTGGTAGCTGGAGTATTGCATTCAGTTTTGGGTGCCACTCTTCAAGAGGGATGTGGAAAATGTTGAGAGGGTCCAGAGGACAGCTACTCGTATGGTTAGGGGCCTGAAGGCAAAGCCCTACAAGGAGAGATTGAGGGACCTACATCTCTTCAGCTTCTGCAAGAGAAGGCTGAGAGTGGATCTAGTGGCCATGTACAAATTCATCGGGGTGGGGGACCGGGGGCAGCAAGAACTAGGAGATGCTCTGTTTCCCAGGGTGCCCCTTGGGGTTACTAGAAACACTGGCCACAACCTGACAGAGAGCAGAGTTAGATTAGAAATTAGGAAGAACTTCTTTATGGTAAGGGTTACCACACTCTGGAATGGACGTCCAAGGGAGGTGGTGCTCTCCCCTTCCTTGGAGGGCTTTAAGAGGAGACTGGATAAGCACCTGGCTGGGGACACCTGACCCCAGCGCTCTTTCTTGCCCGGGGCAGGAGGTTGGACTCGATGATTTATTCAGTTCCCTCCTGACCCGAAACATCTATGAAATTGTTGAAATCTATGAATATTGTTTTGCCCTGATTTCAGGGAGGCCTGTGCAACCCAAATTCCACTGACTAGCACGTTACTTTGAAAATCCCAACCCCCACATGAGGTTAACATAGGCCGAGCAACAGAAATGTTCCCACACGCCCTTATAAAATGCCACCCCCCACCCCACCATGACTTTAGTGGAAGTCAACTCAAGGCCTTGACGTGATCAGTTAAATTCCCCATGAACACTCCCAGCTGCTTCTTACATTGAAAATATTGGGGGTGGGAGTTGGAGCTAATTTTAAGAAATAGTAACTATTATGGAGCCTGTCATTAACTCATCACCCTCAGCAATCCCTCGATTAGCAGATGATCTCTACCACGGCTCATTCATGGGTCTGGAGGTGACTGAGGAGTCGAATCCTTGAGCCGCAGCCCTGTCCACAGGAGTTGTAGGTCCTTTCACAGGGGAGTGTAGGCTATAGGCTGCAATTGCTCTCCTTTTCCTCTCCTTTTTCTTCCTTCATGCTCTCTTCTCTACTTCAAGGTAAAGATGCTTTCCTTCGAAGTGTGCTGCTGACTGGTTGAGGTTGTAGTGCCATCAGTTGGCAGGCAGCTGCTCCCTGCTCTTGAAGTCAGCTATTTTCTTAAAGTACTCTTTCAAAATGTCCTGTTAATGTGTAGCAGAAAGCCCCTTTTCCTCTTGCCTGCAGTTGCTCTCCCCTCCTTGGATATGTTTTTCCTCATCTACCTTTTCTTCCTTCCTCTTTCTTTCACTTTAAGATAAGGAATTGTGTTTTGAAATTTGTGTGTGTGCATTTTGTATCTCCCCTTGTATTTGGTATTTTTATCTATTTGTGTGCCATGGCATTACTTTTGTAGCTTATATTTTATACTCCTCACCTTTCAACTTTCAACTAAATGTGTTTAGTTTCATAAATAAGTTATACATTGTAACGATGTTAACAAGGGCAGGAATCAAACTGTCCTTTCCTGTATCAGGCTGGCCCCTGAAAGAGCAAGTGAATCAGTGATTGAATGTGTAACACGGTAGCAGGCAGCAATTAACACCAAAGGAAACTGCAGATCAACCAACGGAAGAACTCAATAGAAGACAACGTAACTACCGGGAAATCTCTAAACTTCACTGATCAAGGGCTAGAAGCCCTGGCCTGAGTTAATCAACGCTGGAGACCAACTTTTGGGCTGAATATCTCCAGATCAACCGCTCCCAGAACCCTATTCAAAATTCATCAACGGACTCCCAAACCTGCATGTACATGCGGACG